AGCTGCCATTTGCAAATGCACTTATTCTACATAAAAGTCGGGCTGCAGTAACAATTTAATACGCCATATTAGATTATTGAAGGTTTTTGGCAATATCAAACCTTTTACAATATATTCAATGTATAGTGTGCTGAGCAAACCAATGAATTCAAAATGTTACCAAATCTGGGTTCTCAGAGATGTTCTGGATAATCGAGGTCTGGAACCAATTTATCACTTTGGTCAGATTCAGTCTAGATTATCATATGAAATTATGTTATAGGGAAACTCAACAGGAGGACAAGGCGTATTTATTTCCTAGGGAAAGATCATTAGATCAATTGTAGGAGTATCATCTACATTATCATGTCGTAGCCTTTTCAAAAAACTTGGAATTTCACCACTGATTGGACTTTTTATTTTGGAACTCTTAGGAATGAGAATTATTTCACAAGGAACCGATCCTTTCACGAATATAATACGAGAACAAGAAATGATGTTCATATCCCCAAAACACACCTCACACTTTGTATGAAGTCATATAAAATTTTGGGACTAGGATTATATAACGTTCTTCCCGATGCCTTGAAAAATATCAACTCAGTTCATTGATTCAAGAAAATGTTATGTTAGGTAATTTCAGAAGTAAGCAGAATTTTATGAATATCTCAAATGATTTCAGATGTGAGGTTGGATCTTTCTTTTTTCAAATAGTCTTGTATGGAAACGAGTATATGTGATGAATTTGTTTACCTGGTGTTAAGTGTAGGTAATATTTGTTATATTCAACTTTAATCAGTTTTACCTTTCGACCTGTCCAATAGCTATGTTATTTAGCTCATTCAATGGATTGAATGTTTTATCTATCTATCTATCCATCTATCTTCCAAAATCCATAACAATATAGAAAAGGAGTAAAATGGCTCGACAACTTCATTACAGCATCTGGTATCACTGAAGATGAACAAAAAAAGCTATGCTTCTGTACTGCGCAGGCAAAGACACTTTCGAATTTTTATGTCTATTGCCAGAACCACCAGCAGCCCAAACAACTAACCTGGAAGGGTATAAAGTTTTCAAACTGGAGTTGAATACACATTTCGATCCAAAAGCCAATGGAAAGTTCGAAATATTCAATTTTCGTCAAGCAAAACAATTGATTGATAAAACCATTGAAGAGTACTACGCCAGGCTGTTAAAATTTAGTACGAACTGCAATTTCTACGAAAGGAAAAATTTCAAATCATTCAACAAACAACTTCCTCCAGACTTAGGCGATATGCAATCGAAGACAATCTAACTTCAGATCAACTTCTAACACAAGCCAAAGTCTATAAGCTAACATAAGCACAGATAAAACGAATGGAAGAAACTTGTCAAGTGAATGTCAACAGAGTACTCTTCAAGAGCTAACCACAGAGTTTCAAATACCCGCCAAACCAGACTACTGGCCTGACACAAGTAACAATTATGGAAATCAGTGGGTATGTCAAAAAAAGGAACACTTGCCCAGCTATCGAAGTTACATGGCATGAATGTGGTAAAGAAATGCACTTCTCGAAAGTATGCATGGGCAAGAGATATACAAACAGCAACAAACAACACCACAATCACAACAATGCAGCATCGAGATCTAGCAACAACAAATATCATGCAAAAGACGGCTATAAAAAAGGGACATTTAGTGAAAGAAAGAAGAAGAAGATGAACAATCATTTCGAAATTCTGTGAACAATAACAACTTGCCAACAGTAACTATGAGTTTGAACAATACCAAACAACTCCCAGAATTCAATTGATAGGTGAATTTCTACCTAACCTTGTTGGAGATACAAAAATTTTGAGATAATTGATTCACAAGGAATCAGAATGGAACTGGACTGCAGACCATGATCGTGCATCACCATGATCGTGCATCTCAATTTTTGAAAAGGCAACTAAAGTATGTGGAGAAGTTAGCATTCTTTGACATGAACAAAACGGTTCACCTCTATGTAGATGCAGGCACTAATGGACCAGGTGCAGTATTATCTCAAGAACTCAACAATGTAAAAAGCATTGTGGCATATGCAAGCAGAACACTGTCAGGTCTGATACAGAAAGCTGCTACAATCTAATTGAGATAAAGGCACTTGCTGCAACATGGGCCATTTATTTCTTTTACATTCACCTATATGGAGCCATTTTTACTTCACATAGTGATCACTTACCACTTGTAAAAATTCTACAAAACACCAGATACAGTTCTCCAAGCCGTAGAAAGGCATGATCTCCAAAACCATCTTGGCCTTTTCATATGGTAGAAATTTTTAGGTGAGTAACCTATGGTAGTTTACTACTTTTTACTCTTACAATGTATGAGAATATCACTGAAATCATTTGAAACAACATTGAGATACTTCATTTTTCAGATAACTATCTACAAGCACGAAAAAATCGAAGAGAGCTGAATATGAAAGTGATTCGAATTCTGACACTGATAAATTCAATCGTGCAGTGAGACATAAGGAAGCTCTTTCAACTGATGAGAAATACTGAATCATCTGGAAACGAATTCGATGTTCCATCAATGAAAGATGTGGCCAGAAAGAAGTATACGAGCCCTACCAGAATTTTTAGTGTCAGCAGTCTTTCCAAAGACTCAAATACGTATATAAGTTTTTGAATCTTCGAATCTTCAGGCTGTCGGTATGTTATTATCCTCTCTGTTTCAGATAGTCCAACACGTCCTTGTTGCCAACAGCAAAAAAATTATTTGAAATGCTAATGAGTCCTTACATTATTCAACTAAATGACGAATATTCATTTTAGATGAGATTATGGAATCTATTCATAAATAACAGATATTGATCAGAAATATTTTATCTCAAGTGCTAGAAGAGTTGCGACAACTCGAGGAAATCGAATGTTCTTGCCTATGACTAATGATCATCAACTTACCCAATGATGTGGCAGAATATTTGGAGGACAAGAAGAAATTCACATCAGCTCCTCGAATTTCATATCGAACTTCATTGGGATTGATTTTTTCAATTGTCTGGATGAAAGCAATGTTTATGATTTAGTGAAAAGATGTACGAATTCTTCATTTTCCAATACTCATTGTGCAGAATATAGCTGGCTTGGGATGAAATATAATCTTTCAAAATCCTAAATTTCCGAAAATTTGTTCTTAATGATTTCGATTCTGATGAAGCATTGAACCACTAAAATTTGAAACTTCATCATCATCTTCATGGTAATTCTTTTAATGCTTTTTCTTCTTCAGGGACATGTGACAAAAGCCATTTAGCCCAGAATACGAAGGCTTCAGGAGGGGCATTAGGAAACGGCTGAGAAGAGCAAAGGAAAGGAGTAACCATGAAAAGAAGACCAAAATAGTTATTTTTGTATCTAGAGCGCGAAATGCTACTTTGGTGATCGAGATCTGATTTTTTCAACGAGGCGTAGCCGAGTTAAAAAAATAGTCGAGATTACCAAAGTATTTCGCGCTCGAGTTGCAAACAACATTTTTTCTACAAGCGTCAAAAAATATAGTTCTAAATTAAAAATATGCTTAGCTTGATATAAAAAATAGTGTTGAACTGGCTTAAAAAGCCTCCCCCTATCCTCCCTAGGTACGCACGATGTTCCACGAACATATATTAGGAATTTCCTTTCGTGCGCTCCAAGAGATAAAACAAAGTTATGGTTGAACATTCAGAAATGAATGATTTCGTGGATGTTTGCTCGATTGAGGACCATTAAGTTGGAATAAAAATATTTCATATATTTTACTTAACAATGCGCGAAGTAGGTACTTCGCGCACTGTTTTACTTCGCGCATTGTTATGTGCAAGGTATCATGGTAACGTAGGAAACTGAAAAAAAGTGTCACTTCGCAATTTGTTATCAATGCGCGAACCTTGTCATTTTTTGACGTTTATAGAAAAAAGTTAATTATTTATGCAAAGTTTTTATATAGAACCTAGAACAAGAATGAGGAATTGATTTTTTCTGCCTTTGAGATTTTCATTTCTTGTTTCAGATTGATTGTTGATAGTGTGTTATTTCGATGATATTTTCATGTAAAATTTCTTGTTTCTGCTAATTGTTGGATACCCTTCTTTTGTGGTAATTTTCGTGCGAATATTTCCACATTGAATTGGTCTTATTGTTGGTCCAACTAACATCATTTTGAGATCCAGGTAATGCTCACTGAAACTCCAAAGTTCGTTCATGTTGGTACAATCTATGTACAAAGAATATACATAAATGGATATCATATGGATATCTATTACAGGTCCAGATATTCCATTGAAGTTCTGATGTTGATCCATTGTGACACAATTCACGTACATAATACGTACATATCTGGTCGAAAATGGATATCTGATGAACGTCTGAGATGGTGGATGATAGATATCCATGGGATATTCATTAAACATCATTTGTGCATTCGAGAGAACTTTAGGATGATCATTATTTGGTGTCCTTGTGTTTACTAAGAAGCAGGTGCCCCTATCCTTAGGAAGGTTCAAAACGACCGATAATTGCTACAGTTTTACTTGATAACGGTGGAGTTTTTGAGTAGTTCAGAAATTTTCGATTATTGAAAGAGAGAGATGAGCATAGCCAATTTCTCAAACCCAGGTGATAACTCGCTTGTCCTTTATGCTATTCGAATTTCTGGATAGAATAATTTGAATGTAAAAACTTCACAAACGATAAGATTTTCACAAAATTCTCAAACACGAAATGTTTCGCTAACACAGTAGCTTCGTCAGGTGATATACTGGTACAATGAACTTACTCAATGAACCAGTTTATCGTACCAGTATATCACCCCTACAAAGCTACTGTGTTAGCGAAACATTTCGTGTGTTTGAGAATTTTGTGGAAATCTTATCGTTTGTGAAGTATTTACATTTGTCATGGATTTCTATCAAGTAACGGCCGAGTCAATTCAGAATTATTCGATTTCAACTATCGTTGATTGAAATTTTCATCAGTGAAAAACTTTTCTTTTTTCTCCATTTCAGGCTTGAACTCCATACTTGATTACTCAAAATATCCGAACAAAGAATTCCAAGAGAGATGGTTGAGGATATATCTGAATGAGTTCAATGGAACGAAGCCCAGTAAAAAGGATATAGAAATATTGTATGTTCAAGTGAATAAATTTGTATTACTATCTCATATTTTCTGGGGTATATGGGCATTGATTCAAGCAGAACACTCTTATATCGTTTTCGATTATATGGGGTAAGTGGAAAATAATTTGAAACAGGTTAACTATAATACCGGAAGGATGGTCATCGATAATAAAAGTGATCTGAATGTTGGAAGGCGAAAGGTCCACAGAAAATGAAAATTTTCCAGACACGTTTGAGTTAAGCTGGGATCAAAATTCTCTTTTCATACGGGAGGAATCTAACGAAAAGTGTTCAACTGTTATTCTTCTTTGTCCTGTATCAATTATCATCACATTGAAAACTTCCATAATAATATCTCGAAGGGTATATCAACATTCTGAATCTCTATTCGGTACCTTGAGGAGAATGAATAGGTTAATGTAATCCTGTCACCACCACCATCATCAAAATATTCCAGTTTTTGATATTGGATTACGATATTACAAATCTGATTCTTTTCTAATTAGACCGATCGCCGAGTCTACGGTGCGAGTCAAAGATTTCTTCATTCAGAAATTCATAGAATTGAATGAGCTATACCGATTGAGCGACACATTCCCCATGGGAATAACCATAAGAAAATTGGGCAAAAAATAGCAAGAATTGTCGTTCTCAAGGTCATCTGCCTAGAAGTCGACAAACACAAGCAAACCAAGGTTTGTTAAATCATGAGAGGAGAATGCACATTTACCATGAGAAGCTGAAGAATGAATTTTCTTTTATTGGAATATCAGGTTTTCATGTCATTCAGAAGGTTATCATTCATACCACGTGATCAACCTCAATTGATCATAAAACTCGGAGCCAGACTGCATAACATGAGACGTTGTTAATTCGAAATAGCATCAGACATTCATTCAGGATGCCATCACCCATCATCACCCGTCAGCCAATCACAGATCGTCATTTATTAATTAGTTTACATATTACTTATGAAACCAGATTTGAAAGATGAAATTCAACAAGATTTTGGAAGATACATTCTACATGAATTCGGAAGAGAGGTAGATAGTGAGGTAAGGCAAGGTAGCAGCGCGGTAAAAGCGTTAGTTTTCCGATGGCTTGCCGCCAGTCGTTGTTTGAATCCAAACGACCGCAGCTTTTTTCTGATGGCCCAAGAAAGTGTTTGGGATCACACGTTGAAAGCTAAGGCTCTCGTAATTTCTTGCTCGCCCAAGTATCTTGAAGACTTCTGAGGGTTGCTCATAAGGGGGCAATCGAATGACGGATAAAACAATTTCAGAACAAGAATACTATGGAACAATAGTGCGACAAAGGGAGATAGCAGCTCTGCTATTAGAGATGGACGAAAAAAAAAACGAAAAAAATGTTGACTGAACTTTGAGGTCCAAAATATGCATATTCTTAAATCATTTCCGTTATACATTGTATCTCAAAGAGAAATGTGACATATTCAACCGATACAGGCTTAAGAAGAGATAGGTATTGGATTCGATTTCGAATTTTCTCAAATGTAAGTTCATGAGATACTTCCATAGACAATGAATTCTATACCTTTTCAACTCCAATTTCGGAATCGGTAAGTTATATTTCGGAAAAGGTAACCTCGATTTCAGAATTGGTTAGTTCGATTTCAGAAATGATAATCTCAATTTCAGAATCGGTAAGTTGAATTTCAGAAAAAGTCCATTCAATTCCAGAAATGGTGAGTTTTATTTCAGAATTGGTGAGTTAAATTTCAGGAAATAAATCATTATAGTTGTTTGAAACTTTTTCAATTGCATTTGAAATGAACAAACTATCTTCACAATATTCAACTTTCAAAGAACAATTGAATAACACATAATTATAATCTCGATTCAATTCACAGACATGTCTTCCATTCGTATTGCAGAAGGATAGTGGCGTTGAACATGATTGAAAGAATGCAAACACATTTGAGGTGTTATCATTCTCATCAAATGATCTGCGCATTCTTCAAGGCAACGCAGTCTGAATTCCATTTGATTGAGTAATCTGTTTGGATTCCCGGCTATTACCCTTTGGCGATGCTCTTGCAAATAGCTCTTCACTTCTGCCTTGAAGGCACTCCATATGTGTTCTATTGGGTTCAAAATAGGGCTGTAAGGTGCTAATCTGCAAATGATAACATCTTGGAATTCTGCCTTAATGCATATCTCTTCTATTCTCGAATGTGCAGGTGCATTATCCAGTACTACTGCTATGGTATCTGCAGGATGCCCATTTTGAACGCACGTTCTCAAACACCGTTTCATCCACTGTAAAAAATCTTCGCTTTTGAAGCCTCCCCGCTTTCGTTCCCAATGTTCCATGCCCATAGGAGAGCAATGAACTGAATGTAAACAACTGGAAGGTACCCATTGTGAACGATGAGTGAGGCAAAAATATTTCTCAGGCAACCCGCAGTGTTTACGGATACCTATCTCTCTCTATCTTGTGTTGGCTAATGGGAAGCGCTCGCATAATTTGAAATATTTTCTCGTTTTTTGCTTCTATTTAAGAGTTAACGTGATTAAATAATATTCATTTAGGAAAAAGAATGATGTTGTAATCAATTATCATTAAAAAATTATTACTGATTTTTTTATTGACTTTAAAATGAAATTTCAATTCTACTCTTACAGGATCAGGAAGTCAAATGAATACTGTTCAGGAACCATGTACTTTTGAAATATGAACCAATTTCATCACATACTCATTAACTGTCAATATATTTTACCCCGCGATATCTATGCAATGCAAGAGGTGATACGCCGCTGCTCGGAACCACCTAAGGTTCACAGATAGTACTGGATAGTACCACAAAAATGCGCAAGTGGAGCGCGAAGTCGATATATTTTTAAGCAGTACTAAACGACACTCGAGGAAGAAGTTTTTCGCGACGCAAGTAAACCCGGTAAAGATTACCGTCTCGGTACCTATCTCTTTCTCTTCAAAAAAACGAATTCTCGGCGTCTTATATGTGCATTTACGTGTGTGCAATCCTCAATCCTAGCTAGGAGGAAGAAAGAAGTGAGCGCTAAAGGAACTCCTGCAGAAAAACTGAAACCAACCGGCAAGTCCCTCGTTGCATTGCCGATCATCAATTTCCATTTAATAAACCAACATAATTAATGCAGTCCACTGCTCTCAAACTCGTACATTTTTTGGTCCTTCGAGCCGGATTTGTGAATTTTGATGAAATTGGTTTCGTAACTAATAATCTCATATCAATTATCATTGTTTCAGTTTTTTCATGCATAAATATTGTATCGATATACTCTCATCCTCTATCTTCTCCCCAATAAATACGTAAAATAGTGTGACAATTTCTCTCTCAATAATAATTGTGTGTTCGCAAAAATCTGCTAGTGGCGCGCAGCAGTTTTGTTTATTTGTTGCATTTTCTCTCAATTCATATTTGAATTAACAATGGCCACACTTGCTACAAGAATAAAACATAGCATTGCTCAAAAACAAATAGAAATAATTAAACTCAATGAACTGAAAAAGGTTGCTGATACTGCTTCTGGAGAACAATCGGTTCATGATAATTTCAAGTGCCGATACAGATATATTGACACAATTCGGGACAATTTCGGAAAGGTACACTCAGCTTTGATAAATTTACTTTCAACTCAAGAAGATGCCAATTTGGATGAGCAAAATCAGATTTTAATTGAATTTGAAAACGATTTTTATCATATCATGACAGTTTATAAACTCTTGTTCGGTGATGATGATGCTCAACCATTTCCATCTCCTGATCCCCCCGGTCAACATAACGTAAGACTTCCAAAAATGGAATTACCCTCGTTCGATGGAGATGTCAAGGGTTGGCAAACTTTTATCGATATGTTCGACTCTATTGTTCACTATAATGACAAGCTCTCTAATATTGAAAAGTTTACTTATTTAATCAGCTCATTGAAAGGCTCTCCCTTGCAATTAGTTAAATGTACCCCTTTGGCAAGCCAAAACTATTTAGTTGCTTACCAGGCTCTCAAAAATCGTTATCAAAATACGAGACTCATTGCCACGTCTCATTGGCATTCAATTATTAACACAAAAAAGATTATAAATCCCGAAAGCTCTCACTCACTGCGGCAACTATTGGATACGTTTAATGAAAATATTGCTGTTCTTGAAATTATGAAATTTCCTACTAAAAAATGGGATTTTATTCTGTTCAATTTGCTGTTTGATCGCCTGGATTCTGCGACGGCGACTCGGTTTGAACTTGAGCATTCTGCTCTGCCTGATGAGGAATTCTATGAAACTTTGGTAGTTTTTTTGAATAGGCAGTGTTCAGCTCTGGATACTGTGAGTTTTTCGAAATCATCTGCTAGAACAATTGATACGATAAAAAATAATTCCACTATGAAAAAACCTCAATATTCCAAATTCAAATCAACTTCAACATTCTTTACCAACTCTAATCAGAAACTAATTTGTCAGGTTTACCAAAGGGAGCACTTAATTTATAATTGTCCAAGTTTTCTCTCTAAAACTCCCGAGGAACGGTACAATCTGGTAAAGGGGAACAAGTGGTGCACTAATTGCTTAGGCTCGAAGCATACCTCTCTTAATTGCACCTTTAAAGGTTTTTGCAGATTGTGCACGTCTCCCAAAAAACATCATAGTCTTCTACATAATCCATTCCACATGCAAAATGATATCCCCAACTTAGCTCGAACCAGCTCTCGGAAAACACAGCCCCCTCAGACTACTCTCGAAAATATTAATCGTACGAATACCAATTCTCTAGCCATTAACGTGGCCAGCGATATTCCTGGTACAGTTCTTCTCTCTACTGCTGTTGTAGAGGTTCTTGACAGCCAAGGCTTCTACCAACCAGTCAGGATTCTTCTTGATAGCTGAAGTCAAAGTCACTTCATCTCAACCAAATGTTGTACTAAACTTGTTCTCTCTCGTCGTCGACTCTCTATCGATGTACGGGGCGTTGGAAAAATCAGCACTCATGCAACACAAGGAGTAAATTGTACCCTCAAACCAAGAAATAAATCTGAACCCAAATTCACTCTAGATTTGGTGGTTCTTCCTCAAATATGTTCCAATCTTCCGGAAGTTTCTCTCTCAAAAGAACCC